TAGTTAAATAGAGAAAGAGATTGATATATAATTATTAAGAGTTTGCATAAAAAATAATATAAGCATAATGTCTCAGTGATTCAACAATTATTTGTTGAAAATAATGAAACATAAAACAAGAGATCAAGTAATGCAAGTCTTTGCAGAATTGTTTATTCTACTCTTATACCATAATAATAAGTAATACAATCTATAAAAACTGATTAGTTATTTAATTAAGTTTAGGCCATGAGTTAAGTTAGGGGAGAAGAAAAAATAATCCCATAATTGTGTATGACAATATTCATGAGCTACCTTTTTCAACCTAGACATAATAAAGAATGTAAGTCATATAGAAAAGAATAAGTAAATGTTTGAGGAAAATAGGTTATCCCCAAAATAGCATATTTTACAACTGGTATCACTTGAAAGACAAGCTGTATTTAATCAAAAATATGTGTTAAAGTGATCCAAAATAAATGTATCAGTTGAAAGTGCTGAGAAATCCATGTTCCTTCTCTATAACATCAGATTTAAAATTTGACTACTGAAAGTTTAAAAATAAACTTGTAATGAAAATTTAATGTTTTTAATTAAAATCATTAATTTGTTTTTTCAACCTCAAGTTTTTTTAGATGCTGCTATTTGGGAATTTGGAAGGCAAATATTTTAGTTACCCTATGAAGACTGGTAGATTTTGATTACTAATCTTGATTAGTTCATAGATGACTAAAAGCCCATAGCAGTGGTTTTATCAGTACCTATCACATGCAAGCCACGCTGGATAGCAATGCTTCTCCATCTATACTGTGCATGCAGTCACAGGGAGATCTTATCTATATGCAGGTTTTGATTTATGTCTGAAGTGGGCAAGGGATTTTTTTACTTCTAATAAAAGTTTCCTGAAGATACTGCGTGTGCATGTCTAGGCACACACTTTCAGTAGCAATGTTGTAGGACATGCAAGTTTTAAACATATATTTTTTCTATTAAGAATCCTCTAGGCATACATGGGAAACATGACATTAAAACACACACAAAAAAATTTTTGTTGAAGCCATATGTCCCAGTAACTTAATCTCTGTTGGGGGAAGGGAGATAAAGTGAATTAGGTTTCTGGGTCCTGCCACAGATTTTCTTTATGGGTACTTTTCTTTTGTGTTGTTCTTCTAGGGTTTATGCCAATTAAAGCCAAAGAAAATAAATTTAACATGGTTACAGATTAATGAATGTTGTGATTTTAAGAAAAAGACAAGAAACCAAACAGACCAAAGAAGTGAATCTTAATTATGCCAACCATTGAGAAGCTTAGGAAAATATGGGGACAGTTTCCAAGAAAGAGTATCTGAGAGACAAGTTATTTGGGGGAGAAAAGCATCCTTGAAGACATGCGTGCAAGAAAAAGCTACACTAACAAATGAGAGAAACAATAAATATAGGAAGAACTCTACTTGGCTAAATTAAAAGTTGGTGCTACAAAAGCCTGAAACTTAAATAGGTAACTAGGTCAGGTTACAAGGAATAAATACAAGAAAGGACTACTACTTTCACTTAAAAAAAATGGACAAGCAAGGACAGAAGTAAATTTAAGTGCAAGTTACAAAAATAAAGAGCAAGAAAACAAGCTCAGTGGACAGAACGCTAATAACAGAACTAAGAAAAGTAGAAGATGGAAAATTCCATCTACAGAAAATAAAGCAGCTATCTTTTTATAAGCAAAAACTGAACTCAAAAAATTTAGAAGATACAGGTCTTACATTTTGTCAGCATATTTTTTGAACAGTAAAATTTTTTGTTGAATACATTGTATGTTGACTTTCTAGTAAATATTTTTTAAATATCAAATTACTGTTTTTTTCTTTTTTTCATTGTTGTTCAATCATGTTGTCTCACTTTTTCCCTAATTCAGGCCTAAAAATAAAATGCTTACACTGGAGAACTATTTCGGATTCCATTAAATGAGGAAAGAGTTTGAAACTTTCATCAAAAGTTAAAACTGAGAAAGGATCCTCAAATCTGGAATGCAGAAAGATAAAAATATATGTACTTGCAAGAAATGTTTGTATGACACACTCATGGGATTAGAAAACACATACATTATTTTATTTTATTTATTTAATTTTTTAAATACTTTTGATTTCTATTGTTGTTCAAGTACAGTTTTCTGCCTCCCCCCCGCCCCCCCACCACAGCCTTCCCACCCCCTTCCTCTGTTTCTACCACCTCTTGTTACTGTCCATCTGTCCTTTGTAGTTGTTCCTGTAAACCCTTTACCCATTTCCCCCTTTATATCCTGCCCTCTCCCTTCTGGTTACTGTCAGCTTGTTCCCAATTTCAATGTCTTTGGTTATATTTTGCTTGCTTGTTTGTTTGTTTTATTAGGTTCCAGTTAAAGGTATTTGTCCCTCACCACCTGGCTTATTTCACTTAGCATAATGCTTTCCAGTTCCATTCATGCCGTCGCAAAGGGTAGGAGCACCTTCTTTCTTTCTGCTGTGTACAATTTCATTGTGTAAATCTACACCATTCCAAAAGAACCTATGCACCCCAATGTTCATAGCATCATGATTTACAATAGCCAAGTGCTGGAAGTAACCTAAGCACCCATCAGTAAGTGAATAGATCAAAAAGAAAACACATACATTAAATAAACCAGACCTACATGATTGTAATAAATCTATCCTCATGTTGGCAAGTAGGTAGTATGATTAAATAATAGATAATGGGTACATATTTACATAAAAAGAAAATTGGTATAGGGACTGAAGAAATGGTTTCCCTAACAACCATAATTATAAAGAAATAATGAATCTGATGTATTCGTATAGGTCATAAGACAGCTACTCTAGGGAGAGTAATTTCAGAAAAAATAATGTGTAGTGAATCCAACAGTATGATCATAAATGGCACATATTTGTCAAATTTGCAGAATTCCCAGCAGGTGCAAATGTATAAATTGAGATAGATAAATAGTAGAGAGATAGTTGGGAAGCTAGATGACAGATGATAGATTCAATAGATAGATGTTAGAAGAATGGATGTCACCTGAGAAAATAGCACCATACCAATTCATAAGCCCACTTCTATTGTACGAATGCACAAGAGATGCTGTTGGAGCCCCATCCACACTTCCTTGACACTCACTAGTCTAGCCTTTGTCAGTGACATTCAACTGCCAGTGCCCCTGACTCTCCATGAGAAGACTCCCTCTAGGACCACAAATGTGGGGTAGGATGATAGTGTAAGACAGATAACTCTCTGGAGGGTAGTCATCTGCCAATAACAGATAAATGTTGGGAGGAGAGACTTCCCAGCTTCCTGGTCCCTCAGATGGCAAAACTTTTAGATAAATTATGCGCAGTCCTTTGAAGTTCCCCAGCAGAACTCAGGTTTAGTTTCACACAATGGTAACCAGGCTTTCTTCCCTGTCTCACACAGTGGCTTTTCCAACCAGTGAATCCTGAGACCACCTCTTAGAGTGATTCTTTTGTACCTCAGTTCTTGTCCTGGTGTCTCTGGAGGAACACAACTTATGGCAGTGTCAGCCCCTGTCCAAACATTCCTCAACACCGATGTTACTTGTTTTCTTTAGAATTGTTGGTAATTTGATAGCAAAATATTACATATCATGGTTATATAATTGGCATTTTAAAAATTGCTAGTAAATTCCATGTTTTCTTACTTATTGTTCATTTTGAATGTCTCTCTTAAATTGCATTAGTTCATTCTACATTTTTAGTGAAAATAATTATTTATTCATATTGACTGGAAAGATCCCAATATATTAAGTAAACAAATCATTTGATTATAATATATATTTCACAGTGCTTTCTAGCATGTGTTTGAGATACATTTATGTATCATGCATTTGTCATTCCAGATTATGTAGTCAAATCTATCAAATGTTTATTTATGTTTAAATGTTTAATAAATGTTTAAAACTTTTTTTCACCTATCAAGAAAGACCTTGTTGATCCATGATTTGTATGAGAGAATGAAACTAATAATGGTTTAGTACAACACTCAACTGTAAAAGGCATTTATATATTCATAACAATATTAATCAAAATAATGGATTTCAATGTAACCAAAATTATTATAAAACTTTATTAGGATGATGGTGGGATGGAAAGAGTGCAAATGTGTGAGAAAGGAGTAGGAAAAAGATTTTTTCCCTACTAAGAGTTCAAAAGAGTATACTTAAAGCTGAAAAAATTATGATATGCTGTAGAGCTGTGGAGATAAACGTAAGTAATCAGATAATATAACTCAAATTATGGTTGTCTTTGCTATTTTGTTTAACTTTGTTGACAGACCTACTGAGTTTTGTAAACTGTGTACAAACCCAGGGATGATTAAAATAAGTTCTAAAAACAAAAAAGAGAGAATTTGGATTATACATATTTAATTAATAAATAAATACTTTGTTGTATTCCTTTGATACCTAAAGTATATTTGACTTGATTTTCTTTGCAAATAATTAAAAATTTTAGGTACTTACTCAGACTACCTATATTTTAATTCACTTTGCCCAATGGCTTATGTCCAGAAATTATAAGAACTGACGATCTTATTTTCTGCTCTCAAAGAAAATGTTTTTATTATTTTCTTATTAAACATAGTACTTTCCTTTAGGGAAAAATATTTTTGCCCTATGTTGCTAATGATTTTTGTCAGTATAAGATTTGAATATTATCACATGTCTCATTGGCAAAAATTTGATCATGCAGTTTATCTCATTTAACCTATTAGTGTAGTAAATTACAGTAACATACACTAATATTAAGGCACAACATAATCCTCAGGAACATCAAGATGGGGTGGGATCAAGTGAGATTGATTTGGATATGCTGCTGGAATTTCATATTTTGTTTATAATTAAATATTTTATGATATTTTATACTATTTAGATAGCAAACCTACATAGTCCTTCTAAAATAAATAGAATGGGCTCTCTACTTCTCCTATGTGATAGACAACTGTGTCTTCCTGTGCAGTGCCAGCCACAACCTTGAGACAAGATGGTCAAGGTCCAAGTGAATGGATTTGGTCATATTGGGCACCTGGTCATTAGGGCTGCTTTTAACTCTGGCAAAGTGAATATTGTCACCATCATTAACCTCAAATACATTGTCTACATGTTCCAGTGTGATTCTACTCATGGCAAGTTGAAAGGCACAGTCAAAGCTGAGAAAGAAAAATTTGTCATCAATGGAAAGTCCATTTCCATTTTCCAGGAGCAAGACCCCACCGACATCAAAAGGGATGATGCTGATGCCGAATATGTTATGAAGTCCACTAGTGTCTTCACCATATTGAAGAAGGTTGGGGTACACAAGAAGGGTGAAGACAAGGGGGTCACCATCTCTTCCCCTTCTGCGGATGCCTCCATGTTTGTGATGGGTGTAATCCATGACAAATATAACAACTCCCTGAAGATTATCAGCAATGCCTCCTTCACCACCAACTGGACAGGGTTATCTGTGACAACTTTGGCATTATAGAGGGACTTATGACTACAGTCCATGCCATCACTGCCATCCAGAAGGCCGAGGTGTCCTCTCTGGGAAACTGGCATGATGGCCAAGGAGCTGCCCAGAACATCACCCCTGCTTCCATTGCTGCTGTCAAGGCTGTGGGTGAGGTCATCCCTGAGTTGAAAGGGACACTCGTTGGCATGACCTTCTGTGTCCCCACCCCTAATGTGTTAGCTGTAGATCTGACCTGCCTCCTGGACAAAGCTGCCAAATACAATGAAATTGAGAAGGCAGCAGAGCAGAAATCAGAGAGCCCCCTCAAGGGCATCCTGGGCTATAGTGAGGGCAAGGTTGTCTCCTGCAACTTTAACAATGACGCCCACTCCTCTACTCTTGATGCTGGAGCTGACACTGTCCTCAATAACCACTTTGTCAAATTTACTTACTGGTATGACAACGAATTTGGCTACAGCAACAGGGGGGTGGAACTTATGGTCCACATGGCCTCCAAGGAGTAAAAGCCCCCTGGACCACCAGCCCCAGGGAGAAGAGAGGCCCTCAGCTGCTGGGGAGTCCTTGCCCCAAATCAATCCCTGAACACACTGAGAATGTTCTGACTTCAATTTTCTATCCCAGACACCCTGAAAAAGAGGAGGGACTTAGGGAGCCCTACCTTGCCATACACTATGAATAAAGTTCACTGTACCCAGCTGAAAAAATAAAAAAATAAAATAAAGTAAGTGAAATGTTTTCTTTCACTTTCTATACTTTAACATTGCTTAAACAGCAGCAAATTTATTTGTTAAATATTTAAAAACTAAACTGAACCTAGAAATTTTAATTTGCTTTACTTTTTGTTTAAGATATTAACAAGAGTATTAAAATAATTCCAAATAAATGAGGTTTTTTTTCATCAATTTTTCTAGAAAATGATTCAATTTATACAAGCTCATTTCTGGTAGCATAGTTATAAAATTCACTTTATTTGTTTTTATTCTTTCTCTCTTAGTGATTGTGTGCTTTTTTTCCTAACTACAAATATCTGTATTTTCTCCTCTTTTCTTTACTTGATTAGTCCTAGGAGTAGTTCATCTCTTTCATTGTTTTTAAAGAATTAGTTTTTATATGTATGGCTTTTCTCATTTATTTTTTTTAATTTTGGATGTTATATTAATGTCTCCTCTGTCCATAATAACATTTATTTTTTCCAATTTTATGAGTTTATTCTAATATTTTTATAAATGCACTAACACTGTGATTTTTCATGTAAGAACATTTATCATCTTTATTATAATTATTTTCTAGGCTAAGTAGTAACTCTTAGACTTTCTCACTTGTGGTTGATATCATTTGCTTTGTCTTCAGTTAACTGGGCTGTATCTCACTGTTTTTGTTTGGTTTTGTTCTGAAGCAAGTCAGGCTCCCAGATTGACAACGTGCAGCTTCACAAGCACAGCACCATCCGGACACACAACGATGTGAGCTGTTGAGGAGAAATCCTGAGCTCTTCTCATTTCTTTGCTGTTTTCTCCATCCCTGTTTCACTTAGTCTATGTTTCATTCAGTTTCCTTGCAAGTGCAACTTTTTTGAGAATAATACATTCAATTACTTCCTAGAAGCAATCTTCTGAGATACTATTATGTAGAATATGTTCTTTTTCTTATACTTTGCTCTAAATTTTGTATTGGTTCCATGTATGTTTTTTTCCTATTGTTAACCTTTAAAAGAGGAAAGTCCTATCCCCAGCTGGCCATCCTGCCAAAAACTACGAGTATAATATCCTTGGATATTCCCTGGGCAATTTGTTCAAGGAAACACTATGCTTGTTTCCCACTTTCTTATGTGCAGACTCTCAACACAGGCAATACAAAAAGTAAACTCCTGAACCCTGCCTCCACCTGTTTCAGTCAAGCCAAGCTTAATTAATACTACAGACTGACACTTCTGGACACTCCCTCAAGTGAGATTCCTGTGCTGGAAGTCATTGTGTGGCTCCACCTCTGAGACCTACATCACTGTTCACACCAAGTCTCCTCTGAAACGGACACTCACCCGGGCTGCTCTGCCGCTGCAGCCCTCCAGATCCATTTCATGCAGTGGGTGAATAAACTCATCTGAGGATGTAACAGGAGGGCCATTTATTTCTAGGGCACAAGCTTAGTCTTCAACCTAGGGGAAAAAATAACATGAAGTTCCAGCCCAGATTACCGATTTATCAATTGACTCAGAATCTACAAGGTTATGAACCAGGTTTCCTTGAAACCTTGAAACTCTTGGTAATATAGATCATCTGTTCTCCTTATTTGACTAAAAGAGATGGGAAAACAGCTAGGGACACGGGAGGCCACATTATGGAAGTAAACAAGTATTTCAATGAATTTTGAACACTCCAGAATTTTAGGGAATTTAGTTTTAGTTGACAATATATCATCTTCCATGAATAATGATGTATGGATGCGAGGTGTCTCACAGGATTTACTTGTTGTCCCACATTTGGGTCAGCCATACTCTCACAATTAAACTCACAGACTGTATGGCTATTGAAGAATACTAAGGTAGCCTCAGGGAGACTTAAGTATACCACTCAGTCTCAAAACACTGGATACAAAGCCCTGAGACACTGATAATAATAATGTGCTTCCTCCTAAGATAGGATTATAAATTATAATTATATAAGCTACATATATTAAGAAGGATAATAAATATGAACTAGTAAACTATACAGATGACAAAAGGAAATAGCATGATTTCCTTTTGTCATAAAATGACAAAAGGAAATTAGCATAAGCTAGTAAAATTAATCAAGAAAATAATTTTGACATAGGAATTGTAGGGGAGTAAACAGGACTGCTGGGATGATGGGCTAGAAATTGTGACTTAAAGAAAAGGTCTGAGAAGAGAATAACACTCAATTCTTGTCTGGAGAATATCTATTATAGAGGTTAAAATACAAGGAGCTTATATTAAGCTTAAATATTTCTTGAATTGAAGAGCAGTCTTAATCTCCTCTATCGCCATATACTAAGAAAAAATTAATGATTAAGGGAGATTTAGAATTGAAATTATTAAAGTGGTATATGTTATGTACTTGAATATATATTGTTTTGTAAGGTGCTAAACAGAGATTTAAAACCCCGCGTTCCAAAGGATATACCCGCCCTCCGAGAACTGTGTTTTCTAATGAGAATGCACTAATGTCTAGGCAAACATATCAGAAAAAGGCATCCAGAGACCTCTCTACTCCAAACGTTGATAAATGACATTTCTCAAGGAACCATGAAGCACTGATATCTCAAGGAACCGTGAAGCACTGAACAAGAATAGAGCCAGTTCTGAGAAATCTACTGAGCATCTTGCCATTTCTTCCCCTCTGTCTAATGACTTCACATTGGTTCCCAGCCAGAAAGTAGTTCAAGTGACTTTGCTATGACTACATTGTTTTTACTGTTTTTGACAAAACTAGTAATATCTTAGAATCAAAGAAAGTGTACTAAACAGTTCTCAGGGGACCTTTAATTCTAGCACCATTCTGTGAATTGTGTCAAATCTGTTCTCTACATGTTGAAGGTTCTAGGTTTAATGCAGAAATGGATAACCATTATGTTTTTAAGTCTCAATAGTAATACTCCAAAATCAGAAAAAGAACTTTTAAAATGGAACTAGAGTTTCTAAATCTTTTAGAAAATAACTATGTCTCCCTCATTTTTTATTCAGTTGCTAAAACTAACATGTCAAGCAATCATTGTGACTTTCTTTTACTTTTAAACATTTAATTTTCTTCTTTGGTTAAATCTAAATAAATACTTCTTGATTAGAAGGACAGCTAGATATTTGAACAGGTGGTTGCAGAAGATTATGGAATAGCTTCTCAAAAAAAAACATTCCTAAGTAGATACACAGCCATCTGTCAGATAAATTGTTTAAAAATTCTTATGTGTAGGAAAATTTTTGAAATGGGCTCTTAATGGCCCACATATTGACATTTTCAAAAAAAAAACCATGGGTCAGGTAAAAATAGGGAAGTGTTAAATTGCTCATGTCACTTTTTAATAACAATAAGAAATTGTTCTAAATCAGAATTGTCCAAAGTGAGCTACATGAATTCTAAAATTAGAATTCTAATACATGTTGTTAATTAAAGGGGAACTTTGGAAAATACAAATGAGAAATTCTTGGGTCAACAAAGTTAAGGAAGTTTTATTTTTGTTTATTTGTTTTATGTTAGAAATCCTCAGAGTTTTTAAGAATTATATATATGCATTTATATGTATATATGTATACATATATGTATTTTAGGAATATATATTCTCACACATATGTATGTGTGTATGTGTGTGTGTGTGTATAGACTTGTTAAGTAAGAAGTGGATTCTGGAGAAAACTTACCACGAAGATAAAGAATTTTGAACTGGACAGGTGAAAAACTTGAACCAGAATTCAGAATAAGAAACACCAGCTTCAGACCATTTCCAAAATCTTCCCAAGACTGAGAGACTGGAAAAGATGGGGCGGAGATCAACACTCTTGTCTCCGTCTTCTGTGAGATAGGGAGTTCCTCCGCGGGCCTGACCCTTCCTGCTCTGTCCTGTCACCACATCGGAAAAGGTGTGAGTAGAAATTACCGAAAGAAAGCAAGTGTGTGTGTTCTGGATGTAGTAGTCCCCGCCTACACTGAACTATAGACCAGGGACAGAGGAAACGGGAACCATGTAGCTGAGCAACCATGAAATCATGGTTTGACAAGAACTACATCAGTACAAGAACAGACGGGGGTGGAGGGGGACTGCTCTCTAAGGGGGGCTGAGGGTACACTGCGTATGAGCCCCATAAAACAGATGAACAGCACTGGGAGTCCTGCAGATCAAATCAAGAATACAATAGTGGTAATTAAATTCACACTGGAGACAGTTAAAGGCAAAACTAATGTTGAAGAACATTTGATCTGTGACGTAGAGACGGACTTGCTTTGTATATTTTGCCCATCTGTTGTCGTATCAATGTCTTTACCTTTCTTTTTAAAATAAATTGACTTTTTTGTTCTTAAAATGACTCTTCTTACTGTGAAGTGTATTTAATGTGATATGGGTATTGCTTTTTCATGCATTTCACAACACTTTCTCTCTTTTTTTTTTTAGCTTTTGTGTCACAGTTTGTTTTAAGCTTTGGAAAATGCAAGCTGGCTAGTTATTTTTTATGTTGGGGGAATAGTAAAAGTAACAAACCTTGCTGGTCACTGCGTTTTAAAAATAGTGTTTAACATATGTTCACTAAAATAATGAGTAGAAACTTTTACTTTTTATTCGGCCAGCTTATTTTTTATCATATGATTAAATTGCATGATGCTTGAAAGAAGGTAAATTGGTGGAAGTTTCACATTTAAAGAAAATAACAAACTAAAATGTACTAAATTCAGTAAGATGATATTTTGACATTTTTAAGTACTCTTTTGATTACATTAAACAAATAGTCTATCTTGGCTGCCAATTACATAGCTTAACAGCACATACAAAGAAGATT